CATCTGATTATCAGCAGCTTCGTGTTTCAGCATGATACTGATCCAAACACACGGCCAGTGCAGTGAAAGCACATCTGGATAGAAACAGACAGAGGAACTCTGCCAGTCATGGATCGGCCTCCCCGGAGCCGGACGCCAGCATGACTGAAGTGGTAACTTACAGAGATGACAGAGTTCAGACTGAGCTGAAGAATGAAGGTGTTCATAAAGAATACTGACTTTTAAGCATAAAGGTAGAATTACTACAAACTCTGTTTTTGCCTTAGGTACTATTTTTCCATGTATGCTTGCAATAAATCACTGCATTTATTTCCCATTTTTCCTAAAGTAAATGTCCAAACATGCCCATAAGTGTTTCCTCTTCCTTCTTCCCTTTGTCATTTTATCAAGAATTCCCCGCTCGACCTCTCTAGGATCGTCTTTTTATTCACTATCATCGCAGCAATTAGCCGCAGTTGTCAGACTGTCAACCAAGTATATGTCTGTACCTGGAAGACTCAAGCTGAACTTCTAGGAAGACCAGTATGTTACTGCTAACTTATGGGTTTAGTGGGCAAGCTGGACCATTAAGCACAGGTGGTGGTTTTGCAAACATTGTGATAAATTAGCTAACTGGCAAAAGCTACATGCTATGTGCTAACTGTAGGTGCCAGCTACAACTCAGTGGGTGACATCAGATTATAATATGAATGAAAAAGAATATATCTGTGGTTCTGTTGGGCTGGTTCAAACTTTAGCTTTGTAAGAGTTTAATACAGTAAAGCAGAAACTCCGGAACCCAGACGAGTATAACTGAACCTATCAAGAAGTATTAAGTGTTATAAAACAACAATACTAAGTGTTTCTGCCTCCTGTCACAGTTCGATCGTGCCTCTGCGTTCCCACTGAACACTTCTTCATGCTCCTACTAAAATCTGGCGTTTGAAAATTAGCATGTGAGATAGCAGAGCTTGACATGATTTTAAAATGTGTTCACTTTGACTGAAAGTTAGCTCAGCCTATCACAACGTGATGTTGACTGCTTGCTCCTCCCATCTCTTGCTCCACTTCCTTATCCAAACTTGGACTACCCGGCTCAAGTCAAGAACAAAGATGGCAGTGAAGGCGAGTGTTAGCATCACGAATGCTCATTTGGAGGCCTGGGGTGCCAAAAACGTCTAAACCTGGAGGGAGGGATTAAGACAGAACAAGTGAAAAGGTGATGGGGGATAGATGGATGTGGAGAAATAGATGGGAGGGGGTTTCCATTCCTTTTAATATGCTCACGTCCCAAAGAAGCACAGGGAGTCACTTTACCCTCGCTGTATTTTTAGCAGCCGAGAACACAGAGAGAAGCTGGGATCCATGTCACTCTTTATCTCTCTCGCTCATTAACGCATGCATTCCCATAATATCCATCTCCACTTAAAAATCCTCTGATTGATGGAAAGTTTTGGCTAGTTCGGTGTTCCTCAGGGCCTCAACGTGACTTACCAAGTCAGATCAACGTGATCCTCACTGCTCTGTAACGTCTCACAGT